ATCAGAAGGAGGAAAAGCATTAGCTGATGCACTTTACAAGAACACTACACTGATTTCTTTGAGTCTTGCTAGTAATGATCTTGGATTAAAAGGTGGAAAAGCATTAGCTGATGCACTTTGTAAAAACACTACGCTGACTTCTTTGGATCTTTATTATAATCATCTTGGGTTAGAAGGGGGAAAAGCATTAGCTGATACACTTTGTAAGAACATTACACTAACCTTTTTGAATCTTGGATGTAATAATCTTAGATCAGAAGGAGGAAAAGCATTAGCTAATTCACTTTGGAAAAACACTACGCTTACCTTTTTGGATCTTCAATATAATCATCTTGGTTCAGAAGAAGGAATAGCATTAGCTAATGCACTTTGCAAAAACACTACGTTAACTTCTTTAAATCTTTATTGTAATAATCTTGGATCAGAAGGAGGAAAAGCATTAGCTGATACACTTTGTAAGAACATTACTCTAACCTCTTTGAATCTTGGATGTAATAATCTTGGGTCAGAGGGAGGAAAAGCATTAGCTAAAACACTTTGCAAAAACACCACACTTACTTCTTTGTCTCTTTGGGGTAATAATCTTGGATTAGAAGAAGGAAATGTATTGGCTAATGCACTTTGCAAAAACGCTACATTAACTTATTTGAATATTGGAAATAATAATCTTGGACCGGAGGGAGGAAAAGAATTAGAACATGTACTTTGCATAAATAATACTTTGAAAAATTTAGATATTAGTTATAATAATATTAATTTCACTGTAAAACCAGACAATTCAAATATAAAAATAATACAAGATAAATAATTATTAAACTAGTATATACGTATAATGATAAAACTAATTAATTAATTATTAATTATTAATTATTACAGTATTACCAAAAATACATGTCTATCAAATATACTAATACGTATATTTTTAAATTTATTAAATTTATTAAATTTAAAAATAAAAGCAAAAGAAAAAAAAAACTAAATTAGATATTTTTTTTAAAAATGTATATTATTGTATTTAAAATTTTATTAACATAGTCATCTTTAAAGTTTTAAAATAATTCTTATGCAGTTTATGCCATCATCTGGGCAAAATATCGCGGAAAAAACTTCATGATTATTTAATATATCAGATAATGTCAAAAAAAAAAAAAAAATTAGACATATAATATTGTATACTTATTGCAATATTGGTTGCTTCGCGTCCAATAACTGCAGTACTATATATCATTAAGAATTGTAAAATTAATTTGATCAGCAGCTTTGATCCTAACCATTGAGTTTTAAATAAAATAAGCTATTTCACTCTATTTTGTATCCAGTGACAAAATTGGATATTTGGATACCTTGGATTGGACGTCCAACCCAACGTCCAATCGTGATTTTTGGGCTTTGGACGTTCAATGTCCAATGGTCCAATGGTTTGGATATCCAAGATCCAATGATTTAGATTGGACATGACAACACTGCTTATATCTAAATTCGTGGAATAAGTTAGATGAAAGTATAATATTCCGAGAACCGGTATTGAACAGCTGCGGATTTCAAAATAGCCATCATTTAGTATAAATATGTAAATATTACAGGAATTTAGGGCATATTATCACATGTAAAGATCTAAGCGTATCAAATATCAATATCGATCTTACTACCAGTGATCAAAGCAAAAAAATGACGATCAATTAAAATTATCACAAAAAATAATTGCTTCAGTTAATGACGAAATAATTTTCAATTTTTATAATATAAAGTTAATATAAAGTTTCAGACTTTAAAATACAGAAACGGTAAATTGCAATAACTGCAATCGTATACTATAAGCATTATTGTTTAATTTGGTTCATACATTCTTAGCATTAGGGCATAAATTACACTGATGTTTGATATCGTCTACAGGATTAGAAAAGGTCTCTGTGTAGCAATTTTGAAATTTTGTTCTCATTAAAACTAATTTAAAAGTAGAGAGACTTAGAGTGCTACTTCAATATACGTGTTTTTGGAAAGAGCAGTTGTACAATTTGCAAGTTTCATTAAAAAAAAATCCCATGATCGTTCGATTTCTTTATGTAATTACATATGACTTCATAGGCAGACATTCTTATGATTGGCAGTTTAAATCAAATTAATTTTACATTATTTATACAGTTTAAAGTACTTTTTAAAAAAAGAAAAGTGCTACGAATAAATAAAAAAGAAGTATATAGAAAGTTTGATTAGGGTTGTAGGACTCCACTATTAAAAAGAATTTTGATTATTTTTAATAGTGGAGTCCTAAAACTTTCTATATACTTCTTTTTGTTTATTCGTAGTAGTTTTCTTTTTTTTAAAAAAAGTACTTTAAACTGTATAAATAATGTAAAATTAATTTGATTTAAACTGCCAATCATACGGATGTCTGCCTATGACATATGACTCGTATCTTTTTATTACGTATTTATTGTTATCACGTATTACAAAACCCAGCAAAAATTGCAATTAATGTATGTGGCTGCGTCATCAATCAATTATTTCTGTTTGCAAAATGATGTATCTTTGATCAAATTTTGCAAATCATAACCCATATTACAATAAATCGCGCGATTGAGAATGATGATTTAGTTAATTATACAGCGAATCTTTAGTTAAATATGTAACTTCACAATCGGACAATCGACAATCGGACGACAATCAATTGATCGCGATCTACAAAATACATCATAATACGCGATATTACGCATCTCTAAATGATGAAATGATCGGCATCAACGATCGTACGTACGTACGCATATCATAGTGAAAATCATTAATCAATTTTTTAATTAGCAGTGGCGTAGTGATACTAAATAGTAAAAGCATATAAAATTTAAATTGCAATAACTCTAGCGTACTCTTACGCCTTTTTTTATTTATTTATTTTTGTTGTTTGAAACATAGCGGAGGACTCAGTTTCATACAAAATTGTCAAAACATAACCTTAAATCTATTGTCGATCACTATTGCATAATACAATACGAAGCTATGGGTTATCTGTCTCTTCCGCCTTCGTGCTACAGTCTACCTACTAACAGTGCAGAATTCGAAGAATTGAGAGCAACTGTTCTAAAAACTGACGGTTTCCTAAGCTATTGCATGTCGCAAGGGGCGGTCGAAAAAACCAGACACATCCATCTGGAGAAAAACCTAAGTTCCCCTACGACTACTCTAATACGAACACAAGTGCTATGAACACCTGTACATACATTTTCTCAACAGGAGTTACATTTCCTGATAGTCGGGTCGAAGTGGTAGTGTTAGGTTGAGGTTGTGGAGTTGAAGGTATAATGTTAGGTTGAGGTTGAGTTGGAGTTGAAGGTGTAGTGTTAGGTTGAGGTTGAGTTGGAGTTGGTGAATTTGATTTTTTTAGTAGGCGATCCAACTGGACTTTCATTTCTCGAAACAGGAGATTTTTCAAACTTGCATTAACAACTTGGGTTCTGGATCCTCGAGGAATTACAGGTAATATTTGACGAAAATCGCTATCAAATACTACAATTTTTCTACCAAAAGGCTCAAGTTGGTTTTGAATGTTTGATTAACCGCTTCAAAATCCAATTTGTTAATCATAGGAGCTTCATCCCAAGGTATAATCTTTGCATGCCTAATTAAAACTGCTAGTTCAGATTGCTTTGGAATATTACAGGTAGGAGAATCTGTATATTTTAAAGGAATCTTGAATCTTGAGTGAGCAGTTCTACCACCAACTATTAACAAAGCTGCAATACCAGAAGAAGTAACAGCCAAAGCATGGTGCCTCGAATAAACCCTCAAGTCACCGTACGATCGTGTGCGAGGGTCGGGTATAGTCTCGTCACCTATACTCATCAAAAAATGTAGATCATTCCGAAATTTTTATCAGATTCGGTCACATGTCTTGCTTACTATTGGTCAAAAATTCATGCCACCTAAGAAATTTTAATACTTTACAGAAAAAAAAATAAGCCATAAATCTGAAAGAGCAGCATCGAATTTACTATTTTTACGGTTTATATTTTTAATATCACTTAAATTAAAAGACAAGAAGCTATTTGAATTTATATGAATTTTCTTTGATGACTAGGCGGGCGAAAAAACCAGACAAAATCGGGTTAGCAGAAAAAAAAGAAATTATCTTTTCTGGGAAAAAACCCCGTTCCCTTAAATACTACTAACGATTACTAATCTCAAATACTACGTCATTACGTCATAAAATCAATAAAAATCATGCATCAAACATACAATCATGCATCAATAATCAATTAACCACACACCCGTGATCGATGCTGCTCCGATACTTTCGTATTTGGCAGCTAATTTATTAAAAAAATATCAAAAACGACAATTTGTATGAAAACTAAGTCCTCCGCTATGCTTCAAACAATAAAATAAATAAAAAAAGGCGTTGTTACTTTAAAGAGTACACTAAAATAAATCCGACAAATATAATTTTATTTGTGTTGCATTTTAAATTTTATACGTTTTTACTATTTACGCTATCACTACGCCGCTGCTAATTATAAAAAAAATTTGGTTATTGATTTTCACATTAGACACCCCAGTACTGTACGTACGATAATACTGATACGTACGTACGTACTATACCGGGCGTCCCAAAAGTTCCTATACACGGTCCCCTTTTTTTAAGTGTGCATAAATAATCATCGTAATCTCTGTATATAAAGTCACTTTTTTTTAAAAAAAGGGACCGTGTATAGGAACTTTTGGGACACCCGGGTATACGTAGAATCATACAGGGATGGTAAATGACCTTCAAATGACCTTCAATGACCCCAATTTTATTATGAATTTTAATCCGAAATGACCTAGGCCATTTGAATGACCTCCAATTTTACCATCCCTGGGATCATACGAGATTCTTTCTGAACATTACTCACACTAATATAAACACCATCTAATTCAAAGTTTTACTAATTATAAAAACACCAACAAAAATCAAATAAATTATAAACTTATCAACTTTACAAAAAAAAAAAAAAAAAAAACTAGTAATGTCGGTATATTGGCCTGATTCTGAATTGGGACGCTTCGAAAATTCAGTATATCGTTTATTTAACGATTTCTTTAAGGATTTTGATCATGTTAAACATTCTGGGAGTGTGCGTCGTAGTTACAGGGTTCCACCTCTCGATGTTCACGAAAATGACAAAGAGCTCCTTATAGATACCGGTATAATATTTTTTTTAAAAAAATTACAATTATAATTATATGCTTATATATATATATATTAATCTAATATGATTTATGATATTACCTTTATTTAAATATAGGGAGTTTCTAAGGAACAAATTAACCTCGATATTCGTGACGGTGCACTTTATATTTCCGGTGAATCAAAACAAGATGAAAAATTTAAAGAAGGAAATGTACATATTCAAGAACGTCGTTATGGAGCATTTTTTCGTGTCATCACTCTTCCTCGAAACGTTAAAACTGATGAAATCAATGCTAAGTTTGAAAATGGAATTATTGAAACGAAAATTCCAAAAACTTAGCAGTCACCTGAAAAGAGAATTGATATTAAATAATTTTATAATAATTCATGCTAGTTTCTTTTTAAAAATGTAAAACTTAATTTTGTTGGTAAAAAAAATCATACTGCCTTGCAAATTTTCTTAATCGATCAATGTATCGACCGTATTTAATAAACAGTCAAGATGCGCATGACAATGGTTTGAGTTGAGTGCCTTTCTAATAAAAACAATGAAACTTTAATAAATGTGTTTATAATTTTTTCCATTTATTACTCATGATAGTGCCGATTCATATGTAGTTTTCCATCCAAACGGATAAATTCATCTAAACTAAATCCGGTGTTACCTGCGCCTGTTTAATGGATAGTATATAAAAAGGTTTATCTATATATGAATTGAATGCTAGAAATTAAGTTAAGGTTGAATTTGAAAATAATTTACATGTGTAACAGTTACTTCCGGATTTTCGCAATTTCTAATTGATTTACCAACTTGGAATTTTTTTATTTTAAAATCATGTAACGGAAGGCATAATATCTAGCATTTTAATTTCGACCGATTAGAGTAATTCTATGAAAAAGAGGACTGTTAAAAATTTTTTTTTTTTTTTTGCTTAAATGATTATCTCGATTCATTTTTTTAGAAATTGGTGATAATCTTATCGACGCTTATTTTAATCACAACATATTTAGATAAGCATATTAATATTAACCACATCACATACTTCAATGTGATCATATTTAAATATCATAAAATGATCCATATAATCATTCCATAACATTTATTCAGAAAGCTTATAATGTAATATAAATTAAATACTCGGCTAAATTTTAATTAACATCTTATTCAGAAAGCCATTTTTGAACAATTTTGGAGTCCAAAGTTACACAAAAAAACATAAATAACCCAAGTTAAAGATGTGGCGATTATAGTATAGTAAAATTATATCTGTTAAGTTTAACAAATAAAATTAATCCTTAAATTATATTTTGTGTGTGTAGCTGGATAATCTTTCGGAGACTATGGTTATATATGTTGTGCCTTAGGCTAACGCTTGCCTCAGATCACAGCTGAGGTGCGTAACCTATCGATCGGTCATTAAGCACAGAAAAAAAAATTATATGTATAGAAAAAAACGTGCTGAGAAGACTTAAACAGAAAGAAAATTTAGGAAAAAAAAAAAAAACGGAGGTGCTGAAGAGACTTAATGTAAAAAAAAATAGTAATAGTAAAATAAGCGCCAAAGAGATTCAAGAATGCTACTGGATGTAAGACGACGCCAAAATGATTCAAGATATAAAATGTTACTGGAGCTAAGAAAGACGTCAAAGTGATTTAAAGAATGCTACCAGTAAGAAAATGCCAAGAAAGCAAGAAAAAAAAAAAGCCAAGTCAAAGCTTAGATGACTGATCAATAGTTTACGCACCTCATCTGACGGTCTGCGTTAGTCTGAGGCGCAACATATACACTACTTTTACCAGTATAAGCTATAAGCTTCTTTTTTATTATTATTTAAGCCGTTTTAATTATAATTTCGTTTAACACTCCTTTACTGAACTTAAACGCAGTGGGGAGGAGGTCAAATTAAACAAACACTATATTAAGCCACGCAAAGTTGACTTTTCGTTTTGCGACTCATTTTTTTCAAATTTTCGAATAAAAATTGAAGTCTAAATTTTGCCAATTATTCTATTTTTGCCAATTATTTTGACTTTTACTAAAACGCACCTATGGTGTTTTACACCTATGTATATACATTATTAATCGGTGTGATAAAAAATGTTCTACGCCTTAAAAACCATCCCAAGCCCTAACCCAAAATACTAACCTGAATGTAAAAACTGTATAACATAATATAAAAAAATATAATAAAAAAATATGATAGGTGTGCTTTATAATAATTCTTTATTTTCCCCCATAAATTAATCCGGTATCACCACCCGGAATCATCTGATAGGTCCGGTAGAAAAAAAAACTAGTTTCCTGATTCCATGATTCCATGATACTGTACATAAAGCGAAAGCGAAAAATTAATTTTAATTTACGGTAGATTACAGCTGTTTTCATAAATTTTGGGACATCTGGTAAAAAAAATTGATCGAATGATTATTTGGCCGATTCGATAAGTTTATGATTTTGACATTTTCAAAGTATATTCGTTATTGTTTCAGATAAGTTGGATATTTCAGATTCAACTGTAGTTACTTCAGACGAGTTAGAAATTTTTAAATGTTTACTATAGATTTACTATAGACGAACAAGCTAAAGGCTCCTTAGTTGTTAGTTCAACCGTTTCAATAATTTCATCTAATTCGTTCTACAGTATTTTTATAATAATTGTTATAACCTAAATAAAAACTTTTAAATAAAATAGCACATAAATTTTTGCTTTAAATTGTTGAATATAATTCTTATTGCAGCTGCGATAATTACTAATAAAAATCTTGGCTGTTTGGAATTTTCTAGTCCAGTCAATAAATTTGTTCATACTTTTTTTTAATAACTTCTGCTTATGTAATATTTTATTATTATTATTCGGAACCTTTTTTATATTTTGTATTAAGATCTGTTGAGTATAGGCCAAACACACCAAACATACATGCATTCAAGCGAAAACTTTTAATTTTAAATATGTATATACTATCATGCCCAAATCAATGCCGAATCGAAACTTAACGAAGCGGCCAAATATCATTCGGTCAATTTTTCACCAGATGTCCCAAAATTTATGAAAACAGCTATAAAAAACAAAATCCGACTACCCGAAATTTGAAAACCATGTGTGCAAAGTAGAATGATATGGGTTAGTGACACACTTAATTAAGAGTATAACAGGTTTTTAAGGTTATCGTGGCGCTTTATTTAAAACGGTAGTTGTGTATAGGGGCCTGAACTCATAGACAGAAATTTGTCTGATTGGCTAGTTTTTAGATCGATTTGTAAATCTACACGTGATTATTACCCAATCAA